TTTTTTTATTTCCTTTTCCACAGTTAGTTTCACTCTAATATATATTAAACATTAGGCCTATCACTTTTACGTTACTTTAACTTCACACCAACTATATTCTCTTTGCTTTTATCTGTCTTCTATATCCTTCATCTCAATGAATTATTAACAAAACCCCTACAATTGTCTGCTTTTAATTCTTATTATAACATAACTAAACAATAATAGAATATTCACTCACAAAACTAAACTAATCAATACTATTTCAACGAAACAGTCTTTTATATCATGACAGCTGCTTACGTAGACACATATCTTTATTTACTAGCAAATGTAACATAATAATAATAATGCTGTTTGTCAGTAAGCAAAACATTTTAAATTATTTTTACTAGAAGTGACATTGATACAGTATTTGCATTAATGCAATTTCATCTAACTTGTTCTTTAAATAAAATACCTTATTTTTATATGTAATATTTGTATGAATTTCAAGCTTTGAAAGATTTCATTGTGATATGTTTTCACAAAACATATAAAAATGCTTACCTTCATTGAAGATTTAAATTACTGGTTTATATTTCCCCCTACATTCTGTTGAAAGTTTCCTATAATTTATATTTTATATAACTACAAACTTTGCTTGTATTGGTTCAAAAAACACTGCACACAGAGTCACTGTGTTTACCAAACCAATATTATAAACAAGCCGAATATTCTTTTTGAAATTGTTAATCAGATGGCTTCATTTAACACTTTTTTCTAAGTTTTAATTTGATCTTAAATTCATTTATATATATATAAGCATTTACTTAGGCCAATAAGTGACCTTGTTGGAAAAACAAAACTTTATACAGTCAGGTGAAAAATGATTTAACTACACCTACATCATTTTGATCCACAAAATACATTTCTTTTCCTATCTTAATGCAAAGTATAACCTAAATGAAGTATCACACTATGACAACTGAGGAAGAGAAACAGTAATGGGATAGAATCTATAAAACTACATCTGTATTCAAGTTACAAAGTTATATTAGAACTATTTTTTTAAAACTATTATAACTATCCTCTTAGGGGGCTATAAGTACTGTATTATACTCTGAAAAAATTCAGGAAATTCATGAACACTAATGATTTTAATTCGAAGAATGCTGGAACCAATCCAAAATCAAGATTTGCACTTTTTTTTTATTTATGAAATAGATAAAACATTTTTGTTGAATAAATTTCTATTCTGAAGTTTTTTCAAATATATGGAAATGAAACTACAAGTTTATTTTCTACATTTTTTTTTAATTCAATGGTGGAATTTTCCCTTTGAGTCAGGATATACCCATAAGTGAGCAACAGAGTTAAGCAGTGACCCTACTTTGTGTTTTAAGCACAGTGACCTTACCTTATTAACCCTAATTGGTTTCCCATATAATTTTATCATATTCATAATTTTAATGGCATAGTCTGCATCATCTTCTCCCAAGAATTCTACAAATCCATAACCTTGATGAGATCCACTAACTCTATCTTTAGGCATGTGGACGTTAACTGTAAAAAAAAAGTAACAATTAAAAAGCTTGAGTGATTCAGCAGTCATCTTTAGTCATAAAAACATTAAGTGCAAGAAAACACATTATTTATAACCTTACTGGGATTTAGTAATGATTTTAGTTGAGTGTGTATTTTTAGTTAAATATGTAAACATCATTAAAAATTATAAACAAGTGCAGATCTAAAATAATATGAAGACACAAAGCAGTACATGAATCATTATTTCAATTCATACATATCATACAGATATAAACATTCCTAGAATACAATAACAGCACAAGTTAATATGCTAACAGAACTTGGCTAACACACTTTTTGTAGCAAACTATGGTGCTACTTCAACTTTAACAATACACTGCCCAGAGACTGTAGTGCAACTTCAACTTTAACAATACACTGTCCAGAGACTGTAGTGCTGCTTCAACTTTAATAATACAATATCTAGTGACTGTAGTGCTGCTTCAACTTTAACAATACATTGTCTAGAGACTGTGATGCTGCTTCTACTTTAACAATACACTATCTAGTGACTGTAGTGCTGCTTCAACTTTAATAATACAATATCTAGTGACTGTAGTGCTGCTTCATCAAAAATAAAAAGAGAGAGAGACAATTATTTAAAGCTGTGGATACAATTGTGATAACCAACAATGTAACAATTTTTTTCCCGAGCTTTTGAAGAAAATTCACACCCCTACACATAATTATGTGTCTGCACCAGTCTATGATGCAATCAGGATTAGACTATATCCCTCCACCAACAGGAAGGCAACACATCTTCCATGTGTAGTACTCCCCCTAAAGTACATTGTGTATACCAAAGGCTCATTCTTGTCAATGCAATAGATACACACCAGAAATAAGGAGGGAGGGCGGTGGTTCTGTGGAGATGAAAGTAATCAACTGAAATACATTTTTAGGTAAGGAAAATGCTAACTTCAATAATTCTACTCACCTCTCCACAAAAATGATTGCTACAATCCCAGATTGTAAAGATGGTGGAGGGACTGATGTATATATAGGGGGCATTTCTTTCTGAAAATATAGCAACAAAAATGAAAAACTTATGGAGCATGCCAACCACTAGGAATGGGGGGGGGGGATCACTTGGTGGGAGACAGCACCCATTTCATGCAGGAAATACTCTTTGTTCAATACAAGTGGTATAGCATAAAGTACTGTTAGAAGAATTTGTGCATGATGATAAATTGTTTCATAGATGGTTAGAATGTAATGATTGCTCAACCAGCACATACATCTCAGGGATGTACGTGTACTGTGGCTAAAGAAAACACGAGGCCATACAATATGTGAGAAATATATATGTATAATACTTACCAGAATAACCAGGTGCAGGGATGAATCATACCAGACCTACATCTCAAGGAGAATGCAAAATCTACCTGCTAGCATAAACACTGGGAACAATCTGGTTCTTAATTTTAGTGGGTGGCCTTTACTATACTTCCAAGTACACACCCCAGCCCTACTTGTGACTGAAGGATGTTTCCATTCAGACTCATATCAATGGGATTACACCAACCCAAAAAAGAACTCTTCATGTTCATCGCCCAGAGGCTTGGGACTAGGGAAAGAAACGGTTCTCTCATTACTAAAGTAGAAAAAAAATGTAAGACAGAAATATAAATAGGGAAAAATAATGGAGAGGTGTGTATGGAGAGAATAAAAATTTTCTCTCACTTACATACAACCCCACCTTGATAGACTGTGTAATGGGTTGCCATAAATAGGGACAGCAGATGCTAGTCAGGCAGAATCACGCCTGATGCTGTCGTGTTTTTGTTGATGTTTTTTTTTAAATACAGCCTAGAAGGTGAAATATGTATATACTGCTAAAGCAGACTTGCAGAACATCCTGTCTCAACAGTTGGCATTATCCTCCATTCAATGTGATTTTGGGAATAAGAAGTATTTTCTGTGAGTCAATATTGGCCACTTGCTGGATACCATTGTTTCCAGTATATCATCATACAGATATAATAATTGTGATGTGAGAGTTGTAAAAAAAAAATAATAATAATAATCAACAAATCCCCTCCTTGGCACCTGGGAAGATTGTTGAATGTTGACTGGAGTGAGATGACACCCAGAGACAAATAAAACCTCAATATAGTGTAAGTAATTGAATACAAATGTGTCATAGTCCATAGTCAAAATCTAAGCTTACAAGAACTCACCCAGATGAAATTGTGAGCACAGGCAAGAAAATCCATGACATGATTGATAAAATGAGAGATGACATGAAAAAGACATCATCTTTCATGGATGAATAAATAAGTTGGATGAGTTGTTTAACCCAACTGGTTAAAGTGGAAAGAAATTAGTCATGAGAAGAAAAAGAATCCCATGGCAAGAAAACATGATGTTGACTGCCTAGAAATGGAACAGTACAAGTGAGGTAATACCAAACTGCTCTAGCAGGACAAATGATAATGGTTGATAGTAATGATAACAAATGGAAGGGAGGGTGATTGGACAAAATATCCAATCACCCATCCAAGCAGCCCAAGTCTTGAGTAGAAAGAAGTGGTCTTGGATGAAAATTAACTTGTCCATATGGAGAAGAATGTGTTTCCCACAAGTGAAGAGAAAAATATGTTGTAAGAGAAAGATGCCACAGGAAAAAAAATGGCCAAAGGTTTGAATGGAGGACATGTAAAAGTCCTTGATAGCTACAAAGAAGTTCCACTTAGAGGATAAGAACCAGAAGAGAAGGACAGTTGATTAGATATTAGAATGGGTATATAGGAACTGAAGAAAAAGGAGAATGGTCAGGGAAAAGAAGGAATGTCACTGACAAAGTCAAAATGTAAATGGCAATTTAAGAAACAGAAAGACCTTCTTCAAAAAGAAAAAAAAAGGAAGTAATATGAGGAAGTGGCAAATGAAATAGAAGAAGGGAATGGCAAATGGACCAGCATTGATAAATCATCCACCCACAGAGATAAGAAGACTGGCTCCTCTCAAAGAAAAACTTGCCCAACTTGCAAGGGACTGAGCAAAAGCCACACTTGAAGATAAAAGTGTGTAACATCTTGAGTAAAGAGGGACATCTGAGACTTGACACAATTATTGACCTTCAAGATGGACAAAATGGAGGCCCCAAGATTGCCAAGAGGAGGAAACTTGGTAATCATGATTGAGCTGGCCAAAGAGCAGTAACAAAAAGAACCTGGCAAGGTGTGCTGTGAATTAAAGACAGCACTCTGGAAAGAAGCTGAAAAGAAGGACAGGCATACAGAAAGCAGGTGGACCAATCCAGACTCAGAAGGATACTACAAGAGGTCTGGGACTAATGAACAAAAAGTGGAGGTCTGGTGTAAAGGGGGTGGGTGCAAGTTAATCAATAAAAGGACTTTCACAATGTGGGCAAATCTACAGAAGTTATAATCTTCCTATACTGAAAACGTATTTCTGGTAGGTACTTCCTTCCGCTCACAGGATTAGCTTTTTCCATTTTGTGCTGCCCTCTATATGCAAACTTTTTTCATAACACATTCCACAAGCCTTCCGTACCCCCCTATTGGAATCAAAGATTCCAATGTGTCTCATGGAAATCATCATGCGCTACCTCTCCAACAATAGGAGAGAAGTGCAATCATGTGACACATACGACTCCCTCTAAACACCTCTACTAAACTATCACTTCGAAGTTTGACAGACAACAGAAGCACCAGAAGATTGTGGGGAAGAAAGGTGGGAAGTACCTATCAGAAATACATTTTCAGCATAGGAAAATTATAACTTCTGATACAATACTTCCTTCTGCTCACAAGGTTAGCTAAATTCCCACGTTGATAAAGAGGAAGGACCAGTGCAAGGGAAGAACAGACAAACCCCAAAAGAGATCTGAAGAAGGGAAGGGCACCACTTCTGATCAAAGTATACTCATCAATAAAATATTAAATTGGAAGAACATGGCAGAAACAGAAGGGAGCACATCCCAGTGGGAGAGAATATGGCAGGGAGTAATCCTACCAGGAAGAGGGTGAGTAAACAAGGATGAATCCCATGGTGTAACATGGCTAGGGAGCTGCGGACAATACTCGGGAAGTCAACTACATCTAAAAGCTCCTCGCTGGGCACCAACATCCACACGAGGGTAAGATGAGGATCATACCGCCTTCACCTCAAACCCCAGAATCAAGGACAAGAATAACACATTGATTCCAGGGCATGACACAGGATTAGCATTGAGCTAGGGAGCTGGGAATAGGACATTCAGAATCCTAGGAAAGTCCATCACATGCAGTAAACTCCCGCGACTGTAAAACTGGTCCAGAACATTAAATAGGCAATAACATCTATGTTACCCGAAAGAACGAGGGAGAGCCCAGGACATCGTCGGATACATCCCACGTATCTTTACTGTGATCCACAACACAAGGAGCAATCGAGGGAGGAAGATAGACAACTCAAAAGCTATGTGAGGACTTATTTTGATTGGTTCACTCTAAATCCAAAACTAGCCTGTGGAGTACCGACAACCTCGAGAAGGTAGGACGTGGGCTCCCAATCGAAGGGGTAAACTGCATTTTCACGTCTCACTCCATGGTATATTAAACTCAATCCAGAGGATCATATGCCATTTACACTGGCAGAACAGCAACACCCTACTCTGAACTGAATACTTATAGCCATCTTTGTGGAACCCATTTAGCAGGGTGCCTCCATGGTCAACCACCCCAGCAGCTTGGAACTGGTAAGTAGTAAGGACTCTCATACTCCACTTGAAGAAAAGGGAGGCAGATAATGCAATGGAGAGCCTGCAGGAACATCAACATCTGAGACAGTGCAATGGGTGATCACAAAACCCAATTCTGAAAAGCAGACCATACTGATTTATTCAATCAAGGCATGGCAGGGATGGGCAGCTATGCCCTTCTGCTTTACCCATGCTGTCCATGGGTGGTAGGGTCCAGAAATGGCATATTTATGAAGCAAATGTCACAAGGTTATTCAACTACAAACAATCTTGTAAAACATCCTATCTCAAAGGTGAGCATTAGGAGCCATGGAATAAGCACATGATTCAACACAGCGTACAGTGCAGCTTTAGAGTTAAAGAATACCTGGTAAGGCACCACTTGCCATAGAGTGGGATCCATAAGAACAGAAACAAAGCAAGGACCCCTGAAAGGAAAGAAAATTATTAATATACTTACGCAGTCAAAGTTGCACGGAATTATGAAAAACAACTGTGGATGGGGGGATAACAACCCATCGAATAAGAAACCGCAATAGAAGAAGGAAAGAAGATCTGAGGTGTAGTCCACCTACCCCACTGAAGAATGTCCTCTAAGGAATGATGAAGACGAGAAGTTAGTGAAAGAAGGTGTCAAATGCAAGAAGAAAATACCATGAACAAGGTCCGGGAAGACACGTAAGAATAAGCCAATCGAGACAAAGGAATTGGTGAGGGTAGAAGGAGCAAACCCACGAACCAAGGATGGGCACCATGGAAAAAAGAAGTAGAGAGAGGAACCACAAATTGAAGACACGTAAGCAAATCAATACTGAAGAGTACGTAGAAAACATAAGGCTATCAGAATCAGGCCAATGGTAAGATGAGAAAAGAAAGGAAGGAATCAGCAAAGGGAGGAAGTATTCCCCATACTACAGAAGTGTAAGGAAATAATGGGAAGCAGGGGAAAAACAAAGGCATGAGAACGAAAATGGGAGAATACACCAGAAAATCAGGGAGTGCCCCCAAACAGATAAAACAGACCCCAAGAAGAGAATGACTAGAATTGGACAGTCTGCAAGAGAGGAAGCCAAAGCCACCACGTGGGAGCTAACCATGTTGGCACCGTTAACCCAATGGGAAGCAAAAGCACAGCATGAACCTAATATCTGGGGAAAAGGATAAAACATACTCGAGAAATATAGCATAACTGATTCTGTAGGCAGACAGAGGATAACACGGTAAAATCCTTCACCTGAACAAACAAATTTGTATCATTCGTGAGGAAGTGGGGCAACAATAGAAGAAGGTGTTTGACCCATATAACAACCAATCACCTGGCAAACGATCGCAGGTAAATCCATCAACGGGTCGCCCTCACCTACATCAATGGCAAAAAGTGTTCATGGTTGTAGGGAAACCACAGAATTTCCCATAAATTGGTTGATACATAAATACATTGTGCAAAACAAATTAAAGACTGGAAAGTAATTGAAAACAAATTAGTCAGCTGTATAAGCAATCGAGTACAAAACCACTGTCGCTATAAAACTGTTAAATTTAAACTACTGCGGCAATAAACTGCTAAGGTTATGGTTTGGTAGGGGTGTATAGAGGGAGTCACGTGACTTTACTGCACTCCTATTGGTAGAGAAGTGATGCATGATGATCTGCATGAGACACATTGGAATCTTTGTGTCCAATGGGGGGGGGGGGGCTGCAGAAGGCTTGTAGCATGAGTTATAGAGGGCAGCACAAAACAGGAAAATCTAATCTTGTGAGAAGAGGAAAGTATCGTATCGGAAACATCAGGACATTTACAGACTATTGCTGTACTAGATGTGTAATAAAAGTGTGCACTCTGCTGTTCACTGCATGTACTAAAGACTATGTACCATGATGGTCATTGCCATAATAAAGACTTATAATTGTGGCAGACTCTGGTTCTAAAATTCTGTGGTTTGTGCCCTATTATCTCCTTATTGTCTGAAAAAAAAGTTTCTATAGTATAACTTGTAACAACTTGAATATAAAAACAAGGTATTCTTACCTACAGTATGAAATAAATTTAACCTAAAAACAAGGTCTTCTTACCTACAGGTCCTGCCTGAACAAAAAGTTCCCATAGTATAGTTTCAGACACTTTCTCATCCAGTCCACCAACATATATAGTGGCATCTGAAAAAATAAAAGAAATAAGGTTTATATTATATAGCAATTGTGGTATTTGCTAATTCATTATTTAACAGGCTCAGTAACTGATTTGATTAATCGATTAGTACATCATTCATAACGACATGGTACACATCATACCCCCACACTTTCAGACTTTTGCAGAGGTCTTTTTCTGGACTGTTCAATGAATAACCTTGTAAACCTATTTTGAAAAGCCAGCAAGCACGAGCCAGGAAAACAGGTAGAGCACTCCCCTGTAGCTGGCTTATCCATAATAGTCTATGGAATAGGTACAGTCTGGATCGGATAGTAGACATATATCAGAATATACCATAATACCTCAATTGATTTTGCAGAACACCTTATCTCAACAATGGGATTATATAGAGCCAGGGAAGATGGTATGAATGCTTTCCAATATACTGGCTCGATGAAGAATTTTGGGAAATAAGTGTACTCTGGGAGGCACCACCAGCCATCTAGCGAGATCCTGAAAGCAAATAATAGAAACAAAGGAGAATGTACACACCCATCCGAAGATGGTGGGGAGAGTGTAGAATGGTAAACAGAGGCAGGCAGGTTTCTGTGTGAAGAGATGTGTATCATCTTGGAAATGAATATTTGGCCCTTAAAGGTCACTGATGGCAAAGTTTTATTTGAAACTATGCTGACTATGAGATGGCTAAGCTTTTAAGTGTTCTATTTTGTTTTCCTAAAATAAAATACTAGCAATATTCTTGATATTAAGCATTATATGTGAAATAACAGAACTGACCTGAATCATGTGGCAAATGATGTAGAAAGGCAGAGAGACTAAAAATAAATAAAGAACTTGCACAAAACAAGTTTCCCTCAGGGTTTTAAAAGAAGACAATGATCAAATATGCAAGCCTCCCTCTTTTTTTATTTTGGGTAGATTAATAGAACAGAACAGAAGCCTGAGGATTGCAGAGTTATTAAGGCTACTCCTCAAACTGGTGTATTTAACTGTTTTACACTCATAAAAAAGAAACCTATCATTCTATAGATATATGAAGAATTTGTAGCATTTTGCCACAATTTAATTCTTCGTATTGTTAGCCAACACTAAGCAGCTTGTACATAATTGAATAAATAGAGTTATTTAAACATTTATTTAACAACAAGT